CTTTCTCTCCCTAGCACGTGAAAGTGAGAACATGTTGAATTACGTTTGCGCCTTCCCAGTCAGCTGAATACTATGAAATTGTCTGTTATGTTCATTTTGACACAGAATTAACAATTTGTAATACTGTTTTAGATACACATCTTCCCGGCAGTCTGTTATACGCATCCTTTAATTTCTGCAAAGTTTCCAAGTAGTACGTTTTTTTTAATGTTTTTCCAATAGCTCCTCTTATTTCTCCCTTCATAGGTTATGTCAATCAGGTTATCACCACTGAATTACATTCACATTTTACGCTAATATACTATGGTAGCTTGTACCAGGTCATACTGTACAACTTTCATGAATAATTCGTATTACTATGGTTGTTGTAACTCACAAAGAGGCAAGTCATTAAAAAAAACTGTTGTTCCTCTTGTTCATCTTCGTATGCTTGCTATTATACTCACTTTCGATATGTTATTCCTCAAAATCTACCCGTTCTTAGTACTGAATACTTAATACTGGTGTGAATCATGCTCTCGACTCCAGTCACTTTTTAATGTATTGGTTTATTGCCCCTTTCAGATTTTGGGATAGTGTGTCATTGATCGTCAATGGACTGTCTCCAGATATTCACATTAATATCTCTCTTCTGCCGTCTCAACCTCCCTTCCTGTCTCCTTCCTAAACTCCCTCCTTCCCTTTTACTCCTTCCCTCTCCTTGCCTTTCCTGTTCAATTCGACCTCTTTTCTTTCTTCTCCAACGCCCTCCTGTATCTCTACACATTTTATCTCCATCTCTCTCACACATGAGAAAACAAAGGTGCTGGTGCCCTGGTCACGTTATCCTTCACGGTGTACAGTGGCGACACGTCCATCGATAAGGGCGGGCAACCGTCACGGCAAGCTCTCGTTAAGCCTAAAAGCCGCCCTCACATGGGATACCACGTTAGTGGCTGGATTTCGAGAGGAGGATATGCGTTGTACGAGGAACTATGGTGTTCGTTCTTACAAGAAAGTATGGTGCGTGGTTAGTTTGCAGGATAGGTAAACACTTTATCTCTACCTGAAATTATGGCGAATTGCGAGTTAAATGGATGAGGGATGAACACTTTAATATTATATGAAAGCATGGTGTATGTTTACCTGGGATGATAACCTTGAAAGGGCCTTATGCAAAGAGAAATCGGGAAGGGAGTGAGAAACGCTTCTTCAAGGAGGAACTACGCGCTGCTTCCATGGTCTTCAACAGGGGATATTGTGACCATGAACTAATGGTTATTGTGAATCACTCGTTAACAATTTATGAATCGGGAGGAGGATGTCTTGGTAGAATACCGCGTGGAAGGTATGGGGTATGGTTGTCAGGCAGTCGACAAGGAGGGAGAGTGAGGGATCTATTAATAATCGTGAAGAATAAGTGTAGGGGCTTGACATAGGTTAGGGGAAAAGGAGGTAACCGTAAAACGAATGAAAGGAGAATAACAGGATAGGGAAAAAGGAGAAGAAAGTAACCATCAGTCATAAAGATTCGGCTCTGAGCTTCTTGTTTGTTTTGTCTCACCTGCTTATCTAAAGCCTTTATCACATGCTATCACAACATGAAGGAGCTTACCTTTGAGGTGACCTATAAAGGTCGCATGAATATTAGAGGTAGCAGCAAGTAGTGACAAAGGTAGGGGAAGAGGGGACGGAGTGGAGAAGGGGAGAGAAGGGAAGGGAATCAGAGTTTCCACGGAAGAGGAATTTTCCCGAGACCGGAAGTGAAGTAGGATTACGCTTCCCCGCAACTCCTCTCCTCCTCCCCCCCCACCCCACCCCTTTCTCTTCTCCTCCCTACCTCTCTCTTGTCTCGTGTGTTTGTTTCTGTACGTTTCTCTCTCTCTCTCTCTCTCTCTCTCTCTCTCTCTCTCTCTCTCTCTCTCTCTCTCTCTCTCTCTCTCTCTCTCTCTCTCCCTCCCTCCCTCCCTCCCTCCCTCCCTCCCTCCCTCCCTCCCTCCCTCCCATCTCCCTCCCTCCCATCTCCCTCCCTCCCATCTCCCTCCCTCCCTCCCTCCCATCTCCCTCCCTCCCTCCCTCCCATCTCCTTCCCTCCCATCTCCCTCCCTCCTTCCCTCCCATCTCCCTCCCTCCTTCCCTCCCATCTCCCCCCCATCTCCCCCCTCCCCCTCCCTCCCTCTCCTTAACTCTCTAGATTGCCTTGACTTGCGAGGCCTCCTGGCGGCACCGTCCAAAAGCATCAGTAACTCTCTACTTATGATCCAATGCGGAAAGTTTTGTTGCCTCTTCTCTAGCGGGGAGTTTGCCTTCGCTGTGAGGTCGTTGGGGTCATCTTGGGGTTTGTGTAGCCTGTTTATAATGTGATAGTAGTTACTTTTTTAATGTCTTGTTTGTTTACCAGTATTGTTTTGGTTTGTTCTGTTATCATGAATGTGCAATCGTTTCTTCTTTTTTTTCGTCTTTTAAATCGGGCTCATGGATTTTTTCTCTCTAATTGTTGATTGCTTCTGGTTTATCTTAT